CTCACCACCTGCCAAACGATGCACATACAGGTCCAGAGAAGCGAGAGTCAGAGCCAGAGAGACCAAGAGCTAGAGCCCGAGAGCAACGTCAGCAGAGACTGAGCAAATCCTATCAGCGACAGCATGACCAGGAAAGCTAAGAGACCCACCAGCTCGTTCACAAATGAGCCAGCCAGGGAGTTAGCAGAGCAGCTAACAAAGGAGTTCGTGAAAGCGTTGAGGAGAGAGAGCATAATGAGTGTCAAGTGTTAGTAAGTGTGCAAGTGAAGTGGCCTCCAGCCCACTTCCTGCTCACGTACGAGCATGACATACTACGGAATGAAATACTCCTTCGGTCAGTTGGGGTTGGCTGTCCAAACTGTGTCCCCCCACACTGCCTGTAGTGAGAAAGTTGGGAATGCAGCTGCAGTATCAGAAGCTGAGAGACACCTTGGATTTGGTGCAAGCACTTCCCAGCACCAGCTAAAAAGGCAGCTTATCAGTACTTTTCTCAGGGTAAATCCAGGAACACTGCTTCATACCAGCCACTGTGAAGAGAGTTAACTCTTTTCTGACTAAACCCAGCACAGATGTACATGACAAAATTAAAAACATAAGATGAAGTGGTTGAAGACTGTGGAAGTGAGCCATGAAAGCTACTGAACACTACATAAGAGTCAGGAAAGTCGCAAAAGAAAAAGCTAACTGGAAGGACTGTGTTTAGAAGGGAAACAACTATTTAAGATTAGTAGATCCTGCCAGGAAACACAGGAGGGTTAAAAATTGAATTAATATGTTTGAATTGACTGACATGCGAAGATCTAATAGGTGCATTTCCAGCAAGATTAGGAGAGTACACCCACTTGAAAAGGAGCTGAGTCCTTGACATTTCCCAGGTCAGGTTGTCAAACTTTGAAGTAGCTGTGAAACAGCTTATCTCTGCTTGGGGACTTCAAGATTTAGATAAAAAGGTACACAAATTTGGATGAAGGTAAGCTGACATTTGTACCTTAAAATCAGACAGCTGAGCGGAAGGATGGACAGATTTGGTGCCAAGAACATGGACATAATAGTTTGCCTAGATTTCCAAGAACACACATTTCTGCAATGTGTGCACATTTGTAATAGCTGATCAAAGAAATATTCTTGCAGTCAAAGAAAGTGCAATGTAAGGTACTTGGTAATTCTTAAATTTTATATTTGGATGTCAAAGCTACTACACAGAACAAGGAGGAAAGATACTAGCCAGAAAATTAGAGAAAGATCTTCTGCCCATCTTTTGTTGGTTCTGACAAGGCAACTTCTTTATTCTTAGAAATTCTCTATGGAGCACAGAGGGTAAAAAAAAAATTTTGTCACTGTATATGAACCTGAAAAGATCACTGCCATATGCTCCACTAGCATGCAACTCCACGTAATTGATCTAGGCACTCCTTTTCATTTCCAGTTCAAGTATGCTTACTAAAAACTTTTTTAGGAAGATGAAGCCACATTTTATTAGCAACACTGGACTATCATTTTCAAGAGAATTGTCAACAAAACGTTTCCTTTGAAGATGATTATGTGTCAGCTTGCTGATCAACTCCTACATCGTATTTCTGGTATGCTTCGCTTGATTGTTAACGGATGGTTTTGGAAGCTTAAGTCCTTCAGCAAACACTTCATAAGTAAGCGCAAACATACTTTTTATTTGGAAGTAGAATGTGTATTTTCACATTTAGTCTCACACCTGGTTGCATTCCAAAGGCAGTGGGATTTAACTGCAGCATCTTTTTCAATGACCATCTTAAATTCTCAGGCTTGTTTTGGAAAATTAAAACCAGGTTAGTTTTATAAAAGGAATTTGTGAGTTGTGACATGATCCAGATTTTCTCCAAGAACAAAGAATGCAGAGATAAGTTTAAAGGGAAACCCCAGGGAATCTGTCATTAATATTTTGTGAAGCTATTAGGACCAGATTGTGATAAGCTCTGCTCAGGTGCAAATGGGACCCAGATGCCATCAAGCATAGTAAAAGCCATTCCTAGTTTCACTCCAGCTTCAACTCTGCCCCACTAGACTTTGGCTGCTAAATAGGCATGTGAAAGCTGGATGTGAATGCTGACATTGAGCAGAAGAAACAAGCTGGTTGGGAGTAGACCTCAACTACCCTGAGGCAGAACAGGGCTTCCCAGCACCTCAGGGAAGAGCTCTGGGTCAAGCCAAAAAGTGACTGGACATTCTTATCACTGACAGACAAGTCTCAGGTCTGCACAACAGGTTAGCCACAAAAAAAAAAGCCCACTTCAGACCAAAGTCACATTCATTCACTGGAGGACAGAAGCTCCTTGTAATAATGACATTCAGTAGGAAAATTAATTCAAGCACAAACAAAGCCAATCTGTATCATCACATCTACAGTTGGCTTCCTTATAAGCTTACCATCTTTCTGCTATTTTAACTCACCTTCTTTGGCAGGAAATATACTCCAATGGAGTATTTGTCACTATTGGTCCACAGCTCAATCTGTGCCAGCACCTGGTTGGTGAAGGAGTTGCTCATAACAAAGCTGGGGTGACCCATGGCACAGCCCAAGTTGACCAGTCGGCCCTCCGCTAGCAGTATAATATGACGGCCATTCCTCAGCGTATAACGATCTACCTGGGTGGGAAAAAGCAAGAGCAGTGCAATGTCAGGTTAAAGGGAGCATTTTAAAAATCACATAAAGCTTGGTGGGCTTTCTTCCCACATCAAGAATGCACAGTGGGCTTGCAACACTGACTTTGATCACACTTGGGACACCCCCTCCCTCAATTCCCAGTCCATCTTTGCAAAGCCTGTAGCTATTCTGGACTTCATATAACACAAATCCTGGCATCTGCTTCTTATTCAACCAGTTACCCAGTTGTTCTGGTTTTTCCACATGCATGTTGTCTCAGGTGGCTGTGGTGGGGAGCATGCTGTTAGAAGTAAAATGCAGCTCATATATGCCTAACTGTAACAATTGGTGTGGAGAGACAGGAGAGAAGAGGAAACTCCTCTTCAACAGTCCAGAGCCTTTGCATCTAACAAAAGGGTAAGAGCCAGATTCCTCAGCCTGCTGAAACTGTTCCATTGTAATGCTTCCCAGTTCTGTAAGGCCAATACTAAACAGTATAATAAACAACTGTCCCAGCTTCTGGTGTACCCTCTTTTGCTCTCATGGGACCAAAGAAACAGTCCTCCACTCTATACCCAAACTATGCAGGGGACAACAGGACTCTGCACACAGAATCACGTCTCAGATGGGCAAAGGAGACAGGCCTTCAGCTACAGCAGTCCCACACAATTTAGAAAGTAACATCACTTAATATGTGCCTCAACTCTCTAGGCTAGACTTGACTCCTGCAACATTCAAGTTAACGCTGCTTTTCCTTTCCACCAGTCACTACCTCTTCTCTTCCCTGCCGTCACTCCATAAGGAGATTACAATATCAAAGCCCAGAATGAAGCACCAGCATGTCCTCTAAGTTTAAAAAAATATCCAGTATTCACTGGCATTTATTGCTCATGTCACACCAAGCATGTGGGAGCAGAGTAAACCTTTGGAAAGACTTGGAAGATGAAATGACCAACTTTGACAAAGGTTAGTATTTTAGACAAGTCCATTTATCTTATGCTGAGAAAGACCTAAAAAGGTCCCTCCCCACAGCTATTTTTACATTTTTATTCTCAAAAGTTATTTAATATGAAGCAAAACACACTTAAATTTATTCTTAAAGCTTTGGCCTGTAAGTTAAAAGCCATGCAGGATGAAGCTTTAACTCTAACAATACCATCTTCTGAAAAAACATCTTTGTGCAGAGACGTACCAAGTAAAACAGAAATCCTTTTATTAGAACAGATATTTTGCTTTCAGAGGAGGTCTGTGCTTCCATCTGCCTTCCCCAGCTACCCTTCAATTGCAGCACTGCTTTCTACTTCTTGCGTTCATATAACGAATTATGTTTTCAGTGCAACATATGCAGACAGTAACCACCTCAAACAGAAGCCCTAAGTAACAGTCTTAATTTCTGCAAGAGCACTGCAGCCAAGTAGGGTTAATAAGCACCCTCTCCACAGAGCAGGTGCAGTATTTTATAGATGCTGTTTCTCCACTGTGGGCCCCCAGTGACAGTATTCAGCCCATCCAAAAAAATATCATATGGACTACCATAATATTATGGAGAAAATAATGAAACAAAGAAAAAAGCAGCCAGAAAGCAGAACACTAAAGACTCTGGGAACAGCTACAGTGTTACTTATATTCAACATTGTATCTGAAGTACTACAAGGTAGCAGTTAACTAGCATTTGAGTTTTGAAGTCTGAATCTGGTGGTTTAGGTGTCAAAATATTATACCTGTAACAATAATACCCACACAGCTTGCACCTGGACAGCTGCTGGCTTGCACACAGCAACACATACCTTCAGTAATCTGCTGACGTGACTTGCTCAACACAGCATAATGCAGAAAATACAAGTTGATGTCTTCACACAGAAATAAATACAAAATGCTAGTGGAACCAGCAGAGCTTAAAGTCAGTACTGTGGAAACACGTCTCATGTATGGGTAGATAAACAGGCTGATTCATAAGCTCAAGAACTTGCTACAGAAGTTGAATTCAAGTGATCCAAGCATGAAGTTCATTTCCACACTTAAACAAATGCCTCCATCCCTTCTCTACTGGCATTTAACTAGCTCTGGACCTTCTGCTCTTTGCATTTCCCTCCACACCGTGATCCGTGAATAATTTATTTTCAGAGCCAAAGTTCATTGATTCCCACCCTGACCTTTCCTTCCCCTCTAGAGCTGAGCTTGTGCTACACACCAGTCTCTAATACCAGAGCACAGCTGAGCAGCACTGCAGTGCAAACCCATACTCAAAACAACCTGCCAGCTTTTCAGTAACAGGCCTTTTTCCTCCTCAATTGTGCTTTGAAAGCAACAGATGAGTCAGAAAGGCACAATAAGATCTCTCCTTTCCCACATATTAAGCATTTACACCACTTGCAAATGGAGACCATATGGTACTGAAAACTACCATGTTGGACACTTGCACATTTACTCTGTACCTATAGCTGTAGTCTAGCAACCCTCAGCTCTGGTATTAATCCTCTGATCAAGACACAGATGTCTTCTTAGAAGGTTAGAGATTTTTGCTTTTGTACCATATTCCCCTCCCTGCTACAGGATATAGGAAAAAGCTGCCAGGTTTTAGTAAAAAATTGAATATTTAGAGAATTTGTACTTGGTATTATAAAACATAAGATACTTCACCCAGAACACTGATATGAAAAAACCCCACGTTATTCTAATGGTAAGTTGAAGATCTCACACTTTTAACATAGGACCAGCCTCCCCTTGAGGACTGCAAAAGGCTGAGAAGATGACTGCACAAGTGTCCCTTTGGTGAGTCTGAGCAACGAAACTGAGAAATCAACATTGGCCTAAGTGGCAAAACGATAATTTCTTTCCCAGATTTCAGTGTAAGAGCAATTTTAATGACTCATCACTGCTGCCCTGAGAAAGGTCAACACATGCAGACAAATTCCCATGCAGGTGGGAAGGGACAGGACCTGCAGGATACCTCCTGGGAGCTTGTTTTTAAACCTAAAGTTAATGCATGTCCTGGAAGATCTACTCAATTGCAGCAAATTTCTGTTCAATGCCTTTTAATTTGTTTCGAGCATGGAATTTGGGGCCCTCCAGTCACATTTTGCCTCCCAGTCTTGCCTCTCCCCCTTTAGAAACAAGTACATTTTTAGGATGCGTATTAGTCCAACCCTGCTCAATTGCTCAGCCACCACAGCACAGAGAATGAAAGTGAAGAATAAGGCTTTTCCACAGGAATTTCTTCACATAGCACCTGCTCAGCAGGTAGCTCCTTCCATTTAGGATGAGCAGGGTTGGACTAATACGCAATTGCTCAGCCACCACAGCACAGAGAATGAAAGTGAAGAATAAGGCTTTTCCACAGGAATTTCTTCACATAGCACCTGCTCAGCAGGTAGCTCCTTCCATTGTCATGGAGGTCTGAAGTCTTTAGAAATCCAAACAGACACAAAATGGAGCATAGGGGTATACCACTAGCACAGGGTATTTATAGAGCATTAAATACACCAGTAAGAGATTCCAGCTGGAGACTGAAACTAAACAGTGCTTCAGATTCACTGTTAGATGTCAACAAAACCCAAGGACTAACCTGAGCCAGGGACCAGCTTTTATTGGGCTTGGCAACGTACACATCTATAGGTCATTCTCACTTCAGTAAAGCTTCAAACATATGGAATGGCCACATAAGATAAGCTTTACCTCTAGGTACACATCCCATCTCAAGTGGTAACCAGTAGATGGGTAAGGAAAAAGTACAAGAACAGCCCACGGGTAAAGTGCTATTAGCTTCAGTTATCTGTGCATCAAAGAGAGACAGAGGTAGTCCAATCAGGGCTCTGAGACACCTTTTACAAGCTTCAGATGACTTTTAAGCAAACACAGATCATGCTGTGCAATTATCTGCACAGCTTTTGCTCTCTGAACAGGTCTCTCCTTTGCATCACTCCAAACATCCTGCTTGTGACAGCAGCCATTTGTATAACAGACCGGAGATTCAGGGTAGGAGGTAGATCTTCAGCATTAAAGCATATGGACAATCTTGACTGTAATTCCATCCTTTTGAAGAGGTATTCTGTTTTTAACCAGGAACTTGTTAGTTTTCATACCTCTGACTAGACTGCATCTCACAGCACCTAATGCACCTGTGACAGACTGGCTACTGAAGGCAATCCAGAGTACATAAAGAAAAGGAACTACTACCTCTGCCAACACTGACACAATTTTTCATATGGACTTTAAAAGCCATACAAAGTGGCCATGAGCAGGTGGTCTGCACATTATCATATTAACATCCAATTTAGCCTTAAACAATGTTTACTTTTTAAGCAGTCACACTTTTAGCGTGTTTTATTTAGTTTTAAAATCCAAGCTACCAGAAAGCAAGCAGCAAGCTGCTAGCCCCTCTCCTCTAGGACAAGAGCTGTTGAACAAAGTCATCTTCACACTGAGGTCACGGGCAAGAACAGACTTGAATGTAGCGAGAACTTGAGGGTATAACTTTACACCCAGTTGAGTCTATGTAGAGTGTCCCAACAGCAACCAGGATACTGAAAAGACTTCAAAAGTGCTTATTAAGAGTTTGATGTGGGTAGCTAATAAGACACAGGAAAACTGGAAGGGCAGATAGAGATGTACTAAGACATAGGATTGGGTGTGGTGCTTTTAAAGTGGAAAACCTGTCCCAGAATCCTGCTATCAGCAAGCACATCACCTCTTTAAAAGGTAACTACACTAAGTCAGACAAAGTTTGCTCTGTGATGCTCTCCCTCTATGCTGGTGACAGATAACAGTTTTGATTTAGTTTTGTTTCTCTGCTTTAGGACACAGATGAAAACCTGAAAACTTTCCCTATTTTCCTGTGTAGCAACAGCCATTGCTTGAAGTAAATATATAGTGGGAATGCAAGCTGAGCAAGGATAAAACACCTCACGGCATCTGCCCACACAGTTTTCTAAAGTGAAACCACCAAGTCTGGAGAAGTAGTCTGAGTTTGGCAGAGCTCTGGATAGGCTTTCCTGAGGCTTCAATCTCAGAGTAAAAAAATGCTTTGAAAACAGAGGTGTGAATTCAAACACTGACAGAATCCCAGAAGACATTCCCTTGAGATTGACTCTAATCCTGACACCTTGCACCAGGACCAAGACTGCCCTGCTTCAGAGAAATATATGAGTAAGCAGCCTCCTGAGAGGAAATTCACATCAGTCACCAGGCAATCCATGGGCTCCATTCTTAAGTTTTATACAGTCTCTAATGGTCAGTTCTGTATTCATTTAACTTGCTTTTTAAAACTGAGTTATGGCATTGTTTGCAGCTGGGGGCTATTTCCACTTATTTCCATACCCACTCACCATACCCCAAACAAAGCTAACCTCCTGTACAGAATGAACTTGATGCAAATGTCTACACAATCACCACTAAGGGGTAGGGTCCTGATTGTCAAGGAAGTAGAAACACATGGAGAAAGACTTATCCATACCAGACACCTCTTGCCAGAGACCACGCTGTACACTTGGGTACTAGCTGGAACCCATTGCTTTAATACCAACACAAGATGACATGCAGCTTATTCCAGGTTAATCAGGGAAGTGCAGAGCAGAATCTTCATTCTGACCAGCCCAGATCAACACTGGCTTCCAAAAAAGCTAGAAACACAGAAGTACCTGAAGAGAAAGACCTCCTTTCTGGAAAGAGACAGAGAAGCTATTGCTTCGTTCTAGCAGGAGAGCTTGTGCAAAGGCTGTCTCACCTGAGGTTTAACATTCACCGCCTCTACTGCATTTTCATTCAGCCACTTGGCATCAACTTCTACATCAAAATGGCCAATATTACACACTATGGCATCATCCTTCATCTGTTCAAAGTGCCTGCAAAAAGAAAGTTACATCAAAAGTTAATGCACACAATTTTTCTTTGGAACCAGAAGATGCTCTGCTCAAGGAGAAATGATAAGTGTCTGGCTCACTGACTGCATCTGACCCTCCCAGGATGTGTGGGTCTGGTAATCTTCCAGGAATGTGAAGTCTACTAAAAAACACTCTCAAGCTTCTAGGAAAGGACACTTTCCAAGTATATGGGAGGTTATTGGAGTGAAAAATATTTTCCCAGTCCAGAAATTAAAACTATTTTATTTGGTCAAAAGTGGAATACCTGCTGTTTTCTTACACAGAAGAAAATTTTCATCATGACTTTAAAGTTCATAGCAGTTTTACATTTCTAGAGACTAATGGCCTTACCTCCTCCCACTTAATCTGACCTTCCACTACAACATGTACAATCATAATGGCAAAGATAAGAATGAGTTTGTGTAGAGTGAGGGGGCTACAAAGTGAGATTTCAGAAGTGATAAAAACTGCAGGGTAGTTTGAGAACCATCTCATTTCACACCTGTCACATGTATTCACAGAGGGAATCACTTTCGATTTTCACCTTCCTCTTCTGTTCAGATTTCTGTCTGAACACAGAAATTAGCCCTGATGCTCTCATTCTCCAAAAGCCTGTCTATCCCTCTACACCTTTTGCTTCTCCATCATTACACGTTGTACAACAGAACAATTGCAACATGGTGACATCCAACAGAACTGAAAAACCAAAGCCCCAGTTTCTCACTAAATTGACACTAAATCCTGATGCCCAGAAATGAGAAACCCTCACCATACTGCTGACAAGTTATGACTGTATTAAAACAATATCAAACTGTACAGGCATGTTTTCATTAAAGCAGTGGCTAGACCATACCTGCCCTGAACAATGTCAGTGCAGCCAGTAGTGGTAACAAAGATATTGCCTTCTTTGCAGGCCTCCTCCATGGTTGTAACTTCATAACCTGAGAAGAGAAATAGTTACTCTTATACCCAACTGCCAACTCTTATTCAAAAAATGTAATATAGTAATATTACAAGTAGAAAAGTATGGAGAAAGAAGTCTGTGCCATCACCTGACCTATGGAGGATGCAAGATGGTAGGCATACTCATCTTACTAAATGCCAACATAGCACGAAAACATCTATCCCTCGCCTTTTCCCAATCTGTACATCTATACATTCAATGTCTTATGTCCATAGGAGTACCATCTGGCACAACACTCGCAACCTGATTCAGGGGGTCAAGTCTGCACCCAACACACCCGGGCTCTAGTCAGGTATGAACAGAAATGGGACAAACTGGTACTAAGAAGCATAGTTACACAAGGCACCCACAGAAGAGGAGCACAGCTTCCAGAGCATACCATCAGCACAGATAGAAAGGTAGACAGCATGTCATTGCTTTCCAAAAACATCTACTGAAGGTAAGGCCCAATATTTTACTGTGGAGATACTCTAGTCAAGTCTTAACCCACACTGGAGGTTAGAGTTGCACAACCTGAAGATAATGAACCCATTCAAAACCGGGCTTACAGCATTATGAAATGGGGGCCTTACCCCACTATAGTCTCTATATACTTGGCTCCAAACACATCTTCAAGGCCTACACTAATAAACTCCTTTCCTAACTGTAAAGAAAGAATTCCTGCAGTTAAACTGGAGTCAGCTCTTAACAGGGACAGGGCTGGAACCTACCAAAAATTTCTTGGCCAACTATCATTTAGCACTCTAGACTGTCACACAGAGACCCCTGTCAGGTGCATTAATTTCTGCATCTCCTTCAGTTCTCACCTTCCATGGCTGCCTGCAGTGCGTTGATGGGATCGATTTCAGTGATGATGACTCTGGCTCCAAAGCTCCTCAGGGCCTGAGCACAGCCTTTACCCACATCACCATAACCTGCCACAACCGCTACTTTTCCAGCAATCATGACATCTGTAGCACGTTTGATCCCATCAATGAGGGACTCTCTACAGCCATAAAGGTTATCAAACTTGCTCTGAGGAAGAAAAAGGAGCAATTTCAGAACAGAAAGTCACTCAAGTAACAATTTCTCAGAAAAGCAAGACGAACTTACATTCCCTGTGCTTTCTACAGCCCTAGGTCAGCAATCATTCTTGCTTTCACTTAACGCCAGTAGTGCTGTCTGTTAGTGCTATCTTAAGACTGCATACCTAGATGTGAGTAGGGGCTCTGATCTTTCAAATGGGACCTACCTTGCAGCTATTGCTGGTGTCATCTAGCATGTGTAAGATGTTAAGAGTTTGGTTTTGGTTTTCAGTTTACAGCTTACGACTGTAAAGTTTTTATAATAAAAACTCAAAGTCCATGTATAAAAGTGTTGCAGCTATGACTCCAATGCATTATGTGAGCACGTTACAAGGCATAGTGAGCCCATCACTCCCAGCCTCAAAAGATGGCTGAGGGCTAACATCCAAGAAGTTGTACTTCAGATCCAGGAGTTCCTGACTCAGTCTTACACACCAGTTATCACTGGTACATTTGCCATTAATATGTCAGAAAATGTGTTACCAGCCCTTCACATTCTAAAGCTAGTGCCAATTGGTAATCCTCTTCTCTAGTCCTCCAGCAGATCTTCCTTGCACTATAAGCCTTCTTATGAGGAAAACAGCACAGTCAGATTTATTTCTCATCACCAAATCCTCCAGTTGCAATCAAAGACTTCCAGATGCCTATGCATCCCTATGTGGGCAAGGTAGCAGAGTGCTGAACGTAGTCATCTGTCCCAGAACAGAACTGGCTGCTGCCTGCCTTCTCTCTCCAAATACTAGTATAGGAAGCTGGCACCAAGTGAAAATATTGAACTGGGAGTGCAGATCTGTCAGCTCAGTTGAAGGTCTTCCTGGTGAGATCTGTAATCTGACTACAAAATACCGAACAGTACTTAAAAATGAGCACTTGTTTAGTACTAGGATAAAGTGAGCTCAAACCAAACCTACTCAGGAGGCTTTTTCAGAAACATCTGAATTTCCAAGTCTTCTAAATAGTATTAATAATTATTATGAGACAAGTCTCAGTGAAAAGGATGCAGAGAAACAATCTTCTTCCAAGATCAACTGGATTCCAGCCCACTAGCTATGAAATAAAAATGCCAGATACATCTTGGAGAAGAAAGGACATACCCTTCAGATAGCAAACTGCAGAGAAAGGTCAAACAGCGAGAACTGCCATGCCCAATAGTACAATTTTAGTGTGGTAACTTGAAATATGTTTAGCAGATAGATTTAAACATCTAGATGCATAAGGCGTAAGTATGCCTGTAACTCACACTACAATTCACCTGAATCCAAAAGTATCAGCACCCTTTAAACACCATTCGCTCTCTTCCCTCCATTCACTAGGATTTGTCTCTGGAAGCAGTAATATAGTTAAGTAAGCATAAATACCTCCTGTCCTATCCTTTGCAACTGCTGCTCACAGAGACACCTTGTCAAATCAACCAACCCTTACAAGCCACAAGCTCATGTAGGTCTCAGTCTCTTTTCCAGCTGGTACCTGCCACTTACCTGTGGGCTTTAAGATACTCAGTGAGGACATGCCCTTGCCACAGGGACTGACTGTACCCCAGGAGTCATGATTTCCAAAGGTCTTCACATTATTAAAATGCAGAAGAATGCATGTCCTTACACACAAAAAAGCCTTGAATGTTCAGAAAATGGTATTTACAATGGCATGTCTCATTAGAGACATCACAGGCTCTCTTCAAAGATATGGTGAAAATCTGTTCAGTACCAGGTCAAGAATAGCTCAGCAGAGAAGGAATACTTGCATGGGAATGAAAAGATCCCAACACCAAACTGGTCAGACAGCAGAACATAGGACTCTAGCTGCATTACCTTGGTGACAGAGTCATTAACATTGATAGCTGGCACTTTCAGGGTCCCATTGGCCTTCATCTTGTACAGGTTGTGAACTCCAGTAGTTGTCTCTTCTGAAATACCTCTAATTCCTGTGGGGAGAGTAAAAGGATTTGCTTTAGCTGGCGTTAATGCTGCTGCAAACCAACACATCCAGGTGCTGTGAGCATCCTCCAGAGGCCTAAGTTAAATAAACCCTTTGGAGGAAGCAGAAAAGAAATGAGAACCCTTATTTGGAACCTTGAACAGTAGTTTGAAACTTCAAACCAGTCTGTCATGTCCCATCCCTCCCCTCCCTGCACACACACCAACACACATGCCCACCCACCTCGGAAAAAGAAACCCCACAATTAAAAGAGCAGGACAAAGTACTCCTTGGAAAATGGAAAGGAACAGCTCTTGACCAGAGAATCAGGAAAGACCCCACTCTAATCTACTTTCTCACAAAGTGATCACAAAACTCTTCTGCAAAAAGTGCATGATGTTCATATTAGTGGTGTTTCTACAGCCTAGTCCACACTTGCAAGGTGGCTTGAAAGGACACGATACCTAGATAACCACGTTTTAAATTAAAGCACTTGGATCAACTGAAAAAAAAAAGTAAGAAATTCAAATACAAAGTTCACCATTCCAAAACCTCCTGTTGTAATCTTCAGCTCTGACTAAACAGCCCATATCCCCCACTAAATCTGGATACTAGCTAGATAAAACCTCACTTTCATGGGTATTACTAGCACAATCAAAACACATTATTTCAAACATGTTTGTTTGAAAACAGCCCAGGAGGCAAAGAACTGTCTAGAAACACCAACAGTATATAATGGACTAAGATCCTGATAACTGTCATCGGGTTACCCGGCTCCACATTACACCAAAGAGCCAAAGTTGTAAAGGCATCCCTTGCTTTCACGGTCCTGACTTTGTGGACCTTTTTACAGCAGTCAGCTGTTCAGAAGCAGCATCGCTGTACATTACTTCTGGATACCTCTCCTCTGTCTCAATAATACCTCATTGTATACGACTTGTCTAGTTGCTACACTGGCAAACACCTGGTTACTTAGACAGCCTATCTGCACAAAAAGGTAAGCAATGTATGACAATCAGAATAAATCTGGAACTACACTACCCAGTCAGGTTGAATTTCCACTGTGGAGGATGTGGTAATCATGTTTGTTCTTTAAGGACTGGAGGCATACTGCAAGACAATCATTTTTGTTGAAGTATGAACTATTGGAGGAAAATAGAGGAATTCTACTAAATCAGGCTGAAACCACTACCAAGAGCAATATCTCTTTATAGAGATAGGACACATGGAGTTAATACATTCACAAAATATGAAAACAATGACTAGCAAGTTCTATGTACACCAGAGATTTATGCAGGAAGATATGGCCCCTCCAGACAAGTGACCTCGTGTTAACCTCACAGAATAAACACAAAAAGGATGCTTGTAAGCAAAATAATTTTAGTCATTCAGGCTATGTTCAGGCCCTTTTACTGATGAAGCAGGTGACAGCTCAGGTTATCCTGTGTAATTGCACAGAAATATTGCTCCTTTTCATATCATTTTTCTTAATTCCTCTCCCTCACTGTATAATATATAATCACTCCCAATTCCTACATACATTTTTTTCAATCCACACTCTATCCACAGCCCTCCTAGTATTTCTAAGAGGTAAGCACTAGCCTTCCTATTTCAAAACCATCAAAAACAGTGTGGCTAAAGACCTAGCCCAAGATCACCAGCCAGTGTCAATGGCAGGGCTCCTCAATCACAGCCCTCACGCCTCCTCAGTATGAATAACTGGAGATTCTCCTCTCTGAACAGCTTAGGTATGGGCAAGTGGGAACCAGCAGCTAATTCCCCAAAATTATTTATGCAGTCCCTGAATTCTGGGTATTGAGGAGAAATGTCTAAGTATCACTACCTCCCCAGCCACCAAGACCTAGGAGAAGTTTGTAGGACAGTATGAATAACTGGAGATTCTCCTCTCTGAACAGCATGCAGAACAGTCAGTGCTGTTGGGAGCAACAGCCTCAGCACAGTCTCAGGCAGGAAGAGATCAGCACCTCCAGCTGATCAGCTAGCTGTGCCCAGAGGACAAGAGGTCAGCCACCGCAGGGCCTTCAAGCTCTAAGTAGGCTCCTTGAGGCCAGACCAGGGCCCTCCAAGAGCACCAGAGGGCAGGAAACAGCTACCTGCACCCTCCAGGCACCCAGGGGTGCTGCATCTCCCCGGCACAGCTCCCGAGCAGGCTACAGGAGCATGGCTTCTGGGAGAAGGCAGGCAGGCACTCTGCCCCAACCCTTTGGGTTTCTGCCCAGCTGGAAGAGAAGCCGTGGCAACAGCCACCAGGACCCCAAGGGGGCTCAGGTACCCCCTAGCAAGGGGCAGGGAGCAAAAGGGAGGAAAGGGGAATCCCAAATTCGTACCAGAGTTCAATTAAGTTGGAAAGAATAAAGTCATCTTCAAAGTTCACAGCTTAAGCCCTCACAGCATTTCCCCTAGCCTGCATCTGGGACACACATGCCACCGGCCCGAGGCCTTCCCACCCCCAAATGGGGGGTTCGGCGGCGCCCCCCCGCCCGGCCCGCGCTCCGCAGTGCAACAC